AGCGTCACCGGCGCCGTGACGGGGCGTCGCTGCAGCTTCCCAGGCCCGCCCCGGTGTCCGCGGCCTCGGGCACCGCCGCGTTTCCCGCGCTCCCCCGCTCCCCGGCCTGTGCACACCCGCACGGACACCCCCTGTCCCCGCTGCCTGCCCGTATGCCCGTCCCTGTCTAAGCGGGAGAGGCGGGGAGGCAAAGGAGACTCGAAAGTTTGCTGCATGCGCTGAAGAACGAGGTTTGTGGGCACCAGGCATTGACCGGGAGTAAGAGTTCTGGCGAATTTTGAGTGTGTGGAGAATCTGTTTGTTGTGCTGGTGGTTTGGGGTGCTTTGGGTTTATTTTCCATGTCATGCCTTGGGATAACAGGGTCTCCTTGTCTTGTGTGTATTCTTCCTCCTACACGGCCTTGGTACTTGATGATCAGTTTAACAATAGGTTTTCTTTCTAAATTGCTTCTCTGTTTCCTTATGCCCTTGAGCTTGCCAAAGCAAAGAATGACTTTCTCTAGACAGAGATCGTTTTGTATATATTGTGCTGAAGTTCCTTTTTTGCCCCGTACTCCTCATGTACAATTTAATTTTTCTCCCCACTGTTTTCCTCATTGTCAGTTATTTACTTTTTACTGGGTTTGAACACCATACATTTCTGAGACTTAACTTTAAAGGTTGAAGCGAAGCTGAGCATATTTATAAAAAACTTTATACCATCGGCTCCCTTTTAATTGGTGTGACTTCAGGTCAGAGTGCCCCAGTCAGGCAGGATGCTGAAGCATGGTGGAGAAACGTGGAATGCAGAGCAGCCTGGATCTAAGCTGCAGCTAATAAACCTTGGTGAGCCAGCACATCCTCAGTATAGTTGGTGTCTGTGGCATAATATTAGTCCCAGCAGCTTGCTGCTGACATGCTTTGCTTGCCTTTGCACTGAGTTGCTGCTGATCTTCAAGGTTTATGAACTTGACCTCTTTGCCACAGTCAGACAGCTGAACTGTGTCCACACCTGACCGATTCTGGAAGCGGTGTAGCATCTGTGCCCTTTCACATCAGAACTGGCTGCCAGCATTTGGGAGGGATGCTTCACCTTCAGATCTAATCGCAAGATGATCAAATAAACACATTTCTGTTAATCTTAGTTCAGTTCCAGGAGAATTAATTACTCTGGCATCCCTAGGCACATTATAGGAGGCACATGATAGTGACATACAGTTTCCTCTTTACTTGATACTGTAACGTTTGTTTTAAGGCAGCAATCAGTAGATAAATGCTTAAGTATTTAATAATTTTATATTTGAGGTGTATCTCCTGAGGAGAGAACTGAGCTAAGAACATGTAATTTGTTAAATGTCAGTAACTAAGATATATATGGTTTGATTATTGTATGTAATGATGTTGTTATAGCTGGAGAAGACTTTAAATATGAAGAATCTGCGGGTGTTTAAAGCCTATCCAGTACATGGTAGAAAAAAACTTGCCAATATGCCTCTGAGGTAGTGCAGAGGAGCTTCATGCTGAGAAGATGAGCCAGAAAGATCTTTAAAGTAAATAAATACCCACTGAAAAAAAACTCGTGTTTAAGTTAGACAGTGCCTCTGTTGTAGGTTTCTCTCAAAGTAGCAATATAGAACACTGAAAATAAGCCTCTTTTTAGTGAGGAAATTCATACGTGACATTCACTAAAGCTATAACTTTAACAGCTGAATGGTGTTGACTATTTTAAAGTGTGTGTAATAGAGCGAAAAAGTATGTGCACCCATGCAGAGAAGGACACTTTTTAAGAGGTAAGGTTGTGAAAGAAAATATAAGGTTATGTGCGGTGGGTGGAGGAAGCAAGCAGTCTATTCAATGTGAATGATAGAGCAAGCTTCAACTTTATTGAAAGAAATCACACCTTATATAAGCAGTCTACAATACACTACTTGTAACTCTATTGGATACATTAAAGAAACTACATTATAATATCTCAGCCATTGGGTACATCTAAAAAGTCACATTATAATACACCAGCCCCTTGTGGCATTTCTGGTATGCATAAACATCTTTCTTGCTGTGAACCTGCTTCTCTCCCAGGGCTGCTTTCCTCTGACCCCCAAGGTCATAATGCGCCCCAACTTATCTCCTTGTTCTCACAACAATCCTCGCTAGCACAACTGAGCCTTGGGTCTTCATCCTTGTTTACATAACTGTACCCTGAGTTCTTTCCTTTGTTTACCTCAGGTGGCTGGGACCAACTTCTGCAGGGAGCTATGGCCGACCAGCTCCTGCAGGGAGCTATGGCCTTGCTCTCTGCAAGCCGTTCTCCAACAGTTATGCTTTTTGTGTGTAAAATCTTCAACTGCTTTAGATGACCTTTCTGGAACTGAGTCATGCGTTTGGTTAAAAACAATGGCCCTCTCTTCAGTATAGCTGATAGTTGTGTAATAGCCATCATATGGTTCATGTGCATAGATACCTCTGTTTTCTGCTCCTTGATTTTTACCATGAAGTCAATAGTAATTCCTGCAAAGTAGAAGAAAAGTATATAGTGAGACAGTTGTGTAATGATTCAGTGAAGTCTTTCTGTACTTTCTAAACTCATCATGTGATCTGATTGCAGCAAATAGTGATGGTCAATTATTCTAAATAGTAAGTAAAAAGAATCAAAGGAATTTATTACCAAAAAAATCAATAATCATAAATACAGCAGTGTAATGGTGTTGTCAGGGCAGCATTATGCTGTTTAGTTCTATCAACAACAAAACTAATATAAAATCAGTCTGTTACATTGGCTTATTTTCAGGCTGTAGTTTCATGATAGTTGTCTATTGACAACTGTTTAAAGCATTCAACAAGATTTTAACAAGGAATAGACCAGATATTTAAATTACTTATGTTTTACTCTAAAGTGTTGATAGAAATACATATAAGGAAGCCTGTTAGGGAAATATTTTTTGAAATATTGCTTAGGAACTCAATTATGCAAATGTACTCAACATTTCTTTGAAATTGAGTTTTCTCCATTACCCTTCTTAAGTTTACTATCAAGAAAAGATGTAATCATTAACTTCTAGAATCTTTCTTAAAACCTGTAAAAGAAAGCATTTCTATTTTTTTGTTTGCCCACAACTTTTATAAGTTGAAGAACTTTTATAAAACCATTAATGTATGGAGGGAGTAGCCTAGGTAGATGTTCAAAACCACAAGAAATGTGTTTGATCAAAGGCAGCCTTGCAGATTGTCATTCATATGAGTTACTGAGAGTCCGCAGCAAGCTGTTCAGTAAAGACACTGTTATCTGTCCATTGCAACTTGTGTATTACACAACTACAAGACCATTCCTTATGTTTTGGGAAGTCTGCCTTCTGGATTCCAGTTTCCACTTAGGGTTTCCTCCTCATTTTGAGATGTCTTTGTCATTTATTTGATATAACATTTTCTTGGAATGACATGAATAAAAATATTTTCTTCTTGCCCAGGAGCTTGGCATTAAGGCTTAGCTGTGGAAGACTAAAGGTTTGTTTTTGATGATTTCTGTTTCTTTATTTCTTTTTACTTAGAAACAAGCTGATAAGCAGCATAGCAGGAAGGTCTGTTTTACAGGAACTCCCTTGCTGCAGTCACTGCACGGTTCTTCATATGAATCTTGGCCCAGATGTGGAATTTGCATGGCAATTTTTTCAGTCTGCTAAGTAAAACTTCTGCTAATGCAAATATTGTAGAGTGTAATACCAGTTCTTTTAATCTGAAATCTAGGATTAGCTGTATGGTTTATGACAAACTATATAAAAAGTACTAATCACCCTTACACTGTTCCCTGCTTTTGTTGCATAGGCAGCGTAGATTTACTAACTTTTTCTTAGGGTTCTGGTTTGTAATCCCTGTGAGTGGACGTGTGAGAACCTAAGCTGTTACTTCAGGGTATCTCACAGCCCCTCTTAGAGAAATTACTGCTCCTGCAGCAGGTATGGCAGAATAGGCAGGCTCTTTGTCAGGTCCCCAACTTTTACAGATTCTAGCCTGACATTTTAGCACAAGCTGAAGTCTGTGATTTAAGTAGTTGAATTATGTACCTATTACTCAACTTCTGCAGCAAGGTGCTTCACCGCAGGCGTGAAACAGATGTCTTGGAAAGGTAACCAGTTCCATTGCTTCCATGAAAGCTAAAAAGTACTAGGTATTAGGGACTAAGAAAATGCATTACCAGATCTCCGGGTTTGAAATCTTTCAGGATTTCAAACACTGCATTAAGTAGGTTCAGCTTGATAACATAAATGGTGATGATGTCAGGAAAGACTGGAGAATCAGCCTTAATTTTAATGCCAATTTATTTAGTTTTATTATTACAGAGAATGGTATGTTGTGGTGCTCTGGCAGCCCTCATGCCACAGCTTATCTTCCTGCAGTTCATGTGCATGTATTGTCAATCTAAGTTTTTAAGAATAAAATCTGTAAAGTCTCTTAAATCATATTTTAAATCTGTGGCATTTTTTTCCCAAGCCTTTGTGTGGTTCACTTATTGATGGTGGTGGTATTTTTTCCACTCAGTAACTGTTAGGGATTTAAATGAAGACAAAGCTATTTTCAAATTTATAAAAATGAAATTTCCTGGTTGTTATTTCAGGAACACCATCAGATGTTAAGTCTAGAAGTAGAATAGCATTAAGTGGCAGCCGTGTGCCTGATATGCCTGAAGAAACGATTTGCCTTTGTCCCTTCCCTGTTTTCTAGGCAATCTGAAATGTGTGCATTGGGTGTACTGATAGTATTGGCCCATCCACAATTCGTTTCTGAGCAGGGATGGAAAATATTTTTACCCTACTTATTTTCTTTTTTCTTTGATGTACGTGTGATTAGTTGCATGAATAGTTGTAACTAAAAGTATGATTCAAATGGGTATCTTCAGTTATGTCCTACCACCTCTTCCTGCACTTTTTACCTGTGTAGACATTCAGGAATCTGGCTATCAAATATGATTTCAAATACTACATGATCTTTCAGTTACTATTTTTGTCCCTTTCTTCAATGCATACATAAGGATAAAGAGTGGGACCTAACAAGGTAAGCTGCATCTTCTGACCTTTGGGAAGTTCTGTCTTAACACAGAGAAGGGGAAGGAAAATTCAGAACAATATGGTATCCCAGCTCTGTGCTCAGACAGTAGGCAAGGGTAAAAGATTAGTATTCTGATCCTTCTTCTTAAGTAAATATACAAAGTATTTAATTTGATTAAATAAGGTTAATAAGTTTTTTATAAGTAGAAAGTAGTCCAAACTATTCTTTATTGATGTACGTTCAGTCACTGATTAATTACAGCACATAAATGTGTCCTTATATGTGGCCCTTTTCTGTTAAACTATGTATGCGTTCTTCATTTGTACAGATGGGAGAGCATTCTAAATAGTAAGCAAATTTCATTCATTCACCTGCCCCTACCTAAAAGAGGAGAAACGTCAAACTCATTGGCTGGGAAAGCCTTAAGTTGTAGTAATACTTGATTGAAAATGTCTGGAGAATAGATAATGAGGGCAAGTTTGGTTTTGTCATCTGAACAAATGGGAAAGTTAGCTTTCTATAGTCATGTGAGCTGAAGCAACACTTTGCTTAACAGACTACTTTAAAATATAAAGTATATTTTATTTTAGTGACCTGGAGTAAGCAGAAATACATTGTTTTTAGAGCAGGGGTGGAGAAGATGAGCTGAGCGTATCTGATGACTTGCTTCTGCTGAAAGGGGCTGTTCTGCCTCTTTCTTGTATCAGCCCTGCTGCTTTTCTGACGTCTTGCTGAGCCGGTTTGGCTCATTAATCTAGTGTAGGACTAAGTCATCAGAATAGATGAAACACTAGTTCTCCTCCTGCTTTGTGAGTGGTGTCAGCTAGCTCAGCTCGTGAAGGGGTCGTTACAGGTCCTGGAGTCACACTGGAGAAGCAAGAAGTAAAATGATCCCTTTAAACAGGTTAGCTGTCTGATGAGACAAGCTGTGCTAATCTGCACACACCTTCACCCTGTAAGGAAGAGTAATTGAAGTGGAATCATAATGCTTGCAGTAGATACTTGTACTAATATGCACAATGGATTCTATCTAGTAACAGGAAAAGGTAGTAATGTCTATAGGAACATACAGTGCTGCACAAATTGATACATTTGTTTGCAGATTGCTAGGTCACTCATCCTTCTGCTTTGGTACAACTATGATAATTTTCATTTGTAATTGTTTGGTGAAAAGAAAGTCTGATTGAAAGTGCAGCAGTATTGTTTGTGTGCCAGGTATACCTTCAAAGGTTTTGTCTTTTTTTTTTTTTTGTTTTCAAAATATGTTTCCAGATTGCTAATATAATTTCTTAAACTGAAATAATTAATATGCAAGCACCTGTTAAGCAAGGTAAAGTAATTGTTTCTAGCTGAAAAATTCTTTTGTTTGAAATTAAGGACTTCAGTAGTAAAGAAGTTTAGATGGTTCGGAACTGGATTTGTAATATCCCTTTTCTTTTTTTGTCTCCTGTTAAGGTCCTTGATGCCTCAACACTCAGCTTTGGTACTCGAGTCAGGTGGTTTGCCATATGCTTTGTTGCTGGCATTGTGTGTTCTATTCTTGTAAGTAAAGTGGTTTGTTTTTTTTTTTCCCCTGTGCTTTATTAATATTTTACAGTAGAACCTCATTCATATTCATACTTTATGTATGATTCTGTGTTTGCTTTAACCTGTATCCTAAATTTTGTATCCATAAATTTAACTGGACATTAAATGTATAATTCGCATGTAGGGGCTGTTCTGTAAATTAAGATTTTGACCATCTTTCATGCACAATAGAGAGGATTTTTTTTTGTAGCGTAATAACATTTCATACTAAAAGGTTTGAATGCTGAAAAAATATGCTGTATTTTTAATTTAGGTTTGTGACTGGTGTACTAGGAAAGAGCTTTTGCTATAGTTCAGTATGTACCCATCTTATTTTTATTCTCCCCAATAAAAGGGGAGAAGGAGAGGGAAGCTTTAAAGGTTTTTAGAGGCTAAAGAAACCACTGGTGTAACCTGTCCCACTCACAAGTTATTAAGTGATGACTAGTAGCATATTGACACTTGAAAAAGCTGCTGTACTCCTATTGATCTTACAGCCACCAAATAATTTGCTTATTTTTTGAGTTTGAGGTGTTGGCAGAAGTCTCAAGCCTGCAGTTAAAAGTTGAGATCTACTAATTGATTGAGTCTGTCAAAATCTGACATGGGTAACTTGCAGTACAAAGCAGTTCTTTATCTGCATGAGAAGTCCCAGAAGCAGGGAAGTATCCAGACTGCTGGTTTTGGTGTTTCTTTTTTGTTGGTTGTTTTTTTTTTTCCCCAGTATGAGGTAAAATGTTGGTTCTTCACAGAACATGGCTTTTGATATAAAAGTTAGTCAGCAGCCTTTGGCTAATGTGCGTGGGTGACATTCGCAGTTTTTTGCGAAGAATGTCAGGCAGATTGTCTTGACTCGCAATGCATTTTGGTAGTAGGATGGAGAAACATCCTGTGTGCATTATTTTCTGGTTCTGCCATTATTTAAATGACAGCTACTGCTCTTCCATTTACTGTGAAGAGTTTTTAAACCAAGGAGACCTATGTCAGGACAGGAAGAAGCAGCTGTGGAGGAGCAACCTGTTGACTGAGGCACTTGCTTAGAGATAGCCACTCCCTGGATTCTCCTGCAGGTGGAAGCTTTTGATTCTTTATCAAAACTTGTGGTTTGTTAGTCTTCCTGAGACCCAGAGGTAGACCAGAACAATTGCTGGTCATACCTATGAGAGGTCTTATTTAAGTGGTAATCACCTCAATAAAGGAACTAGAGAGTGGTGGTCTTCGTACTGATAACTACACCAAGTACAGTGATACAAACTCTGGCCAGGTGCTTTCATTAGGGGGCAAGTTCTAGGGAGGGAGCTCAAGACTGTGTTGGAATATCCCTTTTTTTAGGGTTGCTTAAGCATTATTTGGTTGACTCCCTCCTCCCCTCCTTTTTTTTTTTTTTTTTTTCCCCAAGGAATATTTAACCAGTATAATCACAGATTTTAGTACATGCCACATTTGTGCTTTAATACCTAGTTCTGAACTGGTTAACATACTCTTTGCTGCTATTTTTTTAGTATTTAATTTTTGTGCCTATTCTATATCACATGGCATGAAACTGTGAAACAACAGATAAAAGGCTTTAGGATCTTGATTTCCAAAAGTTTCCTTGAGTTATCTTGAGCTTGATAAGAGTCAAAACTTTAAATAGTGTGTTCATGGGCAGCTCCCTAGCTAAGCTTTGCCACATAAAACTGAGATCTGGCAACTCCACCTTCTGCTTCAGATTATGGACGTTTTGATATATTTATTGTGTTCTTGGCTGACCAAAATTGCAGGTGGAGTTTTTTCTTTAATGTAGCCTTTGCAAAGTGTCCATAGGCTTTCCCTGTAGAGTACAATTATACTCTTTTCTTGCAGCTTTTTATGGTTGCTTGTACTGTGGTCTGTGCAAACTGACATTACAGATTCCCATAGAAGTTGCAATTGGATAGAATATAGTTGCTTTTTTGCAGGACAGTGTCCACATCACAGCTTTTTAAAAAGAAAAAAAAAGTTTAAAACCCCATGTTTTGCTTCTAGTTTAGGCTTTATTTCTCCCTGATCATCATACAGACTGGGATCAGCAGAAGGCTTTGGAATTTTTTTTGTGTGTGTTTAGTGGAAATAAGAGATGTCTGGAAGTAAGGGTTCTAAAATATTTCTTTTCAGCCTTAGTGTGTATCTAGACAGCAAGTCTGGATGGTTGGTTGGAGGAGAAAGGAGATGATAGATACTAGTGTGGCTTTATGACATTTTATCCTTCGTGTGCAGAGGTGTGTGATGTATACTGGGGCATTGTAACAAAACTGAAAGTGTCATAAGCAGAATATAACAATGCAAATAAATGTTATAAGCAATATAAATAAACATTGCCTAGTTGTAAAAATGTTGTCAAATATAGTAAACCAGTACATTATTTTGCCAGCAGGTGGCAATAGAAGTGTGCTCAATATTGACTACTACAATTTGTGAGAATGGTCTACTCTGCTGGTATATGTTAGAATGACCCTCTTCATAGTCTGAAAATATATCTAAAGACTATAAAATCTAAATAAATTTAATTAACTAATTACAAACATAGAAATAACCTATCTTTTATAGGGAACAGCATTGCTATGGCTTCCAAAGGGGATCAAACTTTTTGCAGTGTTTTACACCCTGGGAAATATTGCTGCATTAGCCAGGTACGAGTTTTTAATTATTGTTATTAGAAAAGTACCTTCCTTTTCATCTGCATTTCCTTTTCTTTTGCTCTAAAATGGTGTCTGATTATGTTGTGTATAAACAACATTGTTTTCATATTGAAATGCTAATAATGTAAACTCTTGTTTATCTTACCGTTTTAAGATTATAATGATTAATGAATACCAGTTATTTACCTGTTATTGCCCCACTGTGATGTGTCCACAAAATAATGATGTAAGACATGACAACTTCTCTCTGAAGGATGAATAACATTGCTGGCTGAAGGTTTTGTACTTTGTACATCTAAGTCCTGCTGGGTACAGAGGTACCTCAGTTTCAGGGGGTAAACTGATAGTCTGCCTGCTGTGTGGATGCTTTGTTAGTGGAAGGAGCTTTTGGCTTTTAACAGAAAGATTATCCCGTTTCTAGGAAAAAATCTTTGAAGATGATGTTCAGGAAATCCACTTTTTGACTGTAAGGCCAGGCAGAACCTAAAAATCACTCACGGTGTCTTTTTAAACTCTATGCTTGGCTCTTTGCAGTGTTCCCCATAGCAGTTAGTCTTAAAAGATTTGCAGAACAGACCTCAGAGGATATAAAACTCTAAGAACATAAAAAGATATGCAAGAAACAACTTCAGGTCAATAAAGTATTTTCAGTTTCTGTTTGTCCTCCTTCTCTTACTACCTTAGCATAGTTGAAGCATGGTCATGGGACTTAAAACCCATGGAGTCTGGTCTTGACTTTGATGGACTCTGTGACTTGACTAAAGTCACTTAACACTTGAGTCAAGGCATAATTAATCTGTTAAAACTCAGGCAATATGGCTTTATCATTTGAGAAAAGTGATGGTGTACTTAATTTTCTCAGCAGATTTGTTGTGGGACAAAAATTGAGTCTCGTTTGTATAACTATTCCATCTCATATTAAAACAAGACAAAAAGTTAGTACCGGAGGTAGGCAAAACTGAGTATTTACCATCTCTACCTTATCTTTTATTCTTTGTTGTTGTGGTTTTTGTTTTGGTTTTTTGTGGGTTATTTTTACTTAGTATTTTGGGTGTGTTTTCACTGCTTCAAATTAAATAAGCATTTTAGAAACTTGGTGCTAATCAAGTCTAATTGTCAGTGAACTAAGAGGAAAGCTTTTACAGATTGATACTTCTAGGAGAATGCTGAAAAACTTAAGTCTGGACTCCAACTAAAAGTAGAAGTAAAAAGAGGCCCCCTTCTCCTTCAGTAGTCCTTTTAGATCTAAACAGGCAAGTGTGTTTTAAGAAGATTAGGAAATGACGACAAAGTCCCAAACTAACAAACATTTTCAGGCTTGTTTTCAAGTCTCTGTATCTAAAACAGCTGCAGCTACTACTCTTACTAACTAGTCCTGTCTAGACTATGATTTTCTCGCCACAAACATGAAAACAATAATACTTGATTCTTCTCTGGGATGATTCTACAGAATGTGTTGTATATAAGAAATATCCCATGTAAGTGCAGGACCTCTAGATTTTTTTTTTCCCAGCCTTTCTGTTCCCTATGGATTCTCTAACATCTCTGGCAAAGCTCTTGTGGTGTCTGTCCTTACATGCTAATGAGGCTAGCATCAATGTATTTTGGTTTCTATGGGGTTTTTTCTGCCTATTTCACATGGCCTGAACCTCCCTCATTTTTATTGCCATATTTTCATCATCCCTATCCTTCCACTAGCTAATTAATTTTTTTTTCTAGTTCTTCAGGTCTCTCCTTTTTGTCTTAATTTTATGGCTCAGCAGCTAAGATTAAAAAATACTGAGAAAAAGTTAGTTTCGATTTAAAACTTTTTTTTTTCTTTTGAATTGAGGAAACATTTTTTTCCATTTAATATGGACTTTTGAGGTCTGTCTGTGCAACTTAAAGAAGAAAAACAGTGAAGAGAAGGGGGTATATACACAAAGTTGCTGGTAGGGGAACATCTGGGTGTGGGAAATCATAGGTTCTGTTTACTGCTTGGGACACAGATTCCCATATTTCTTCTGTTTGAGAAGATGTGTGCTTCTCCAGTCTTATGACTGATTTCAGGAGGGAACTCTTCCAAACTTTTCCTGATACTGATTATTACAAATCATATAAATAAGTATTAACTAGAAAAGAAGTTAAACTAGGTTTCTGGCTCTGTAGTAAAGCATTCAGACCACCACACAATTACAGGCATTCTCACTCTCTCACTAAATATTTTCTGCAAAGCAGAATGGCTTCAATGCCAGGGAAGGAAGGGACTCATAGAATATTTGAAGCCAGATAATTATTCCTACAGTTGTGAATTCTTGGTTCATATGTCATTTCTTTGCAAGAAGAGGTACAGCATAGCATTGCTGATGGTTTTCATTTTCCCTTCAAGTTAACTACAGAGTAGAAGAAAACAGGAGGGTTTAATACAAACTACAGAAGTTTTTCCTCCTTCTTTGCTTGCTGAGTTTGGGCAGAGTTAGAGCTTCCCTGTAATACTGAATGCAGTCACTAGCACACTGCCTAAGAAGTTTATTCTTAAGTGGAATTTTGGTCTTCATATTCTTTGCATTATTTTGGCAAGTAGGTTCTTAGGATGGCCTCAACGTGAAATTCACTGGACTTCAACTTGACAACCCTCTGCTGTAAGTGGTAACATTATGGGAAGAATTTTATGACCAAGGGTAACTCAATGCATAAGCTGTTTCCAGGACTGAATTCATGGGCCCTTTTATTCTGAGGGGTCTCTGCTGCTAAACACTGAAATGCCTTCTTTAAAGCCTTTGTGCTCATCTAACTGTTGGAAAACTGGTTAATTACTTACTGTCTTTTGCAAATATGTATTTGGAAGTGATTTACCGTTTGTTTTGTTTTTTCCCTCCTATTAGTACATGTTTCCTGATGGGGCCACTGAAGCAATTGAAAGCAATGTTTGAGCCAAAAAGATTAATAGCTACAGTTGTGATGTTGGTAAGTATACTTTCTTTACTTCCTTTTGCTAAAAAGTTCTCCTTTAGTCTCAAAGCTAAATCTGAGGCTTTACTAAAGGGGAGTTGTTTCTCAGTCTAACTCTTCTTTGTATTGAGTAATAATAGTCAAGCTGATTATCTCTGTATATTAAAGGATTATCTAACTCCTTTCTATGAGCTTGTGTTTTTGTTGCTTATGATTTTTTTAAATTAATCATTAGGACTAAAATGTTCTTAACTAAATATTTCTTAATAAATGTTAGTATTAGGTTGAATAATTTGTTTTTTAAAACAATTTCTTCAAGAATCAGGCTAGAGAGAGACTTTTCAGCTACTGTGAACAGTCAGTGGTCACCAAGTCTAGCTTGACAGCTGTTTGTATAACTTAGTGGTTCAGCACTTTCAGTGCAGTGGAGAAAATTAATTTCTTTCCCCAAAGTCTGGGAAGCCGCATGTTCAGCTTCACACTTCTCCATTGAGAGGTCTTTGGCTCCTTTATTTCCATGACCATCAGATCTTCTTCCAGGAGGATGGAAAAAACAGACATGCCCCAGTCCCAAAAACTGTATTAGGTAGTTAAAAACAAGTTTCTGCCCTTGCTGTTTCTGTTTTGTACTTATTTTCTCTTGTTTCTCCTGATTTGTTTCAACTTTTATTTTTGAAATGTAGTTGGTTGTCATATTCTCCCTATCATATAGCTTGCTTTTCTAGGTGATTAGAGCTGATGTGGATAAGAAACCCTTCATGATTCTGGATGGCTGTCAAATGGGTTGTATATTCTTTCTCTCACACACCCATGTGTCAAAAAAAGTTATAATCTCATTTAAGATGCTCATGTTTACTCACATCTTTTGGAGAAGTGACTTGATCCTTGCTTGGACTCCAAGTTTTGTTAAAGAGGTGACTTTTTGCCATCTTTTCTGAATTGTACCAAATCACAAGTCCTAGGAAAGTAGTGTTTCATAGGCCTGCAGTAAAAATGTCCAAGAGCATCTCCAGTTCTCTAGAGTCTCTGTTTGCTGAGCATGAATTCTCCAACACTTTACAGCTGTGGGCTTTTTCTGGTCAAGCTGAGGGCTTGAGCCAGACACTAAACCACTAGCACAGAATTTATTTGTTCTGTTATCCTGTCATCCACTGTGCTTACACATGGTGACAGAAGAAAACCAAGCTGCTTTGAAGGCTGTAGAAACAAGACACATCAGGGAAATGGAAGGAGAACAGAGAGCAGAAAAAACATCACAGACTGACCTACCTACTACTTGTGCAGAGAAGCTAATAATAAGGTCAGGAAAAGACCGAGTGAAAGGTTTCATCTAACAGGGAACAGGAACATTGGATGAGAGCGAAGACTGTTATGATGGAAAATTTCAGTAATGCAGAGAACTGGTAAAATTCTGAAGTCTAGAAACCTTTTGATGTACTTGACTTTTCTTCCCCATCCTAACACAAAGCTAGAATTGTAAGCAACTCAGGAGTCACAGATTTGTTTGGAAAATTTCAAGAGATTCTGTTATTTATTTCATTAAAATGTCAGTAGTTCTTTTTCAGTGAAAATTAGAGTTTTGTGCTGTTTTCTATTATGTGTAATGACAAATGCAGGGAGCCAGGTGAGATTTAGTGGAAAAGTTCAAAGTAAAGCTTGCACAAATGGTGTGATGAATTTGGCATAGTAAACCATATCATTGTAATGTTCCATCAGAGGTATGTAAATAGCTTGCAAAAAGCTTTGTGAGCTTTTTCACTGTGTATGAAGCAGCTGCTCCCTAGTGGGCTCTTCATTACTGTCAGAAGATGAAAAAACACTGGCAGAAGAAGCAGAGCCTATGTTTGCCAAATACCATAACCGTGAATGGGAGTTTTTAATAATGAGTTGTTCACGGTGACACACATACCTTTCTTGCCAGATGTTGATGTTACAAATACTAGATCCAAAGTTATGCTATGTACTGAAATAATAGAACAGCAGTTCCCAAACTACTTGGTTGCTTTCAGGCAAGCTTTATCATCTAACACATTAGGCTACACAGACCTGGTTACATTCCTCACAGTTCCTGAAGTCAGTTCCTGCCTCCTCGTTCTTCTAAGACTTGCCACAGACCTTCTGGCCATGGAGCACATCATACTGTGCTTTGGAAAGTACCACTTTACGTGGAGTTCAGCATATAGTCACTGTGTGACAGCCTTTGGCTCTGCTTGTTTCATGAGTCAATTCTGAAAATGCTGATCGCACATTGAAAACATGAAAACAGTTGCTGTATCTTCTTTGTTGTGTATTTGGAGTATTCATTCTTTTTTTTTTGTCTCCCCCCAGCTTTTCCTAGTGTTGACTTTGTGTGCTGTATTCTGGGTAAGTGAGAATACTTTGTTTCTCTAAAGAACACTCTAGCTTTGTTAGTTTATTAATTAATTTTTAACATATTAAATAAGTTTTAACATACAGTTCAGTTGTGGAGGAAAGATGAGCTTGTGTGTGGTATTTGTGTATCCAACTGCAGTTGAGTTTAGGTGGAATGATGAGCCTGCTGACTACAAAGCAAATGTACCCTTCCACCCATCTAGAGCATCAGGTTCAGTCTCTGGACTAAGAACTAGAAAAAGCAAGCTAATATATGCTTTCATCTCAGTGATACGTACTTATGTCAGAATATCAGAAAATATGTAGTGGTCTTTAGAAACCATGGGTACTAAATATTAAACTGATTAAGACAAAAGGAGACAGAACAGGTACCTCCAAGCATCTTGATTGAAAAATTGGCTGTAGTTATGTTCCATAGAAATAAATATGTAGCTGAAGTGAACTTCTGTATTTGCAGGACAGTGTCATGAACTAAAGTGAAAGTGGTAGCACTGATGTTGACTGTTTTCAAAGCTAGGGAAGGTTTTCATAGCATGATGCTAATGGTGTGATGGATAAAACAAATGGAAAGTTGTTAGTGGAAAGGAGTAGCAAATTAAGATAAGAAAATTTGGGCACTGTCAGCTGAATTTTTGGCTGAACAGGCTGTTGCAATTGTTTGCAATATGGACTGGTTCAAAATGAACTAACATGCAATATTTTCTTTATTTTTACTTAGTGGAACAAAAAAGGTTTGGCGGTGTTATTCTGCATATTGCAGTTCTTGGCAATGACCTGGTAAGCTTCTTAAAATTCATTTTACCTTCTCCCTGCCCCTACACCCGCATGATTATAAACCTATATATATATACTTCGTATAATGTACGTGTGCTCAAATGCTAGCCTCAATCTGTTTTTCTGAGCTAGGTTGTGTAACTTCAGCAAAATCTATATGCAATCGTCTTGCAAAAATGGTAATTTTAAGTATATTCTGCAATGTGTGAACTTATTTGAGACATTATGAAATGAATACATATGCAAAAAAAAATATCTCATGCCTTTTCTCTGTTGTGAAAGTAACTGTATATTCATATGCCCTGCCTTTGATTATCTCCCTCTTTTTTGAGATCTAACTAAATTTTCATTTTTGAAATAGAAAAAACTAAATAACATTTTCATAGGGTGTGTCCTGCCCCAAGAGTAGGCAGCAACACTGGGTAAAGAGTGGGTGGCTGTGAGAGGGTAAATTTAGTGCAGCGGGTGCTATGATGACCATCCACATGCACTCAAGGGCTCAACTTGGGAGTGTGTGAGCACAGTTAGGTGAATTGCTTGCAAGCCTGGCAGAAGTTTTAGAAGTTACTGCTTTCTCCATGGAGATACAACTGAACATACTTGGTCTCCTTGTCCCAGGTGAATTACTTGGTACTACTAGTTGATCCAAGGTGACCACAGTCCTTGTTTGAACTTGCCCTGAATACACAGAGTCTATACTCAACTTGGATCTAAGGACAAATAACCATTTGTTTAGGATGGGGACTGTTGGGCATCATGCTGGGCCCAGGTAAATGCTTGATACTTAGATAGAGGGAGCATTGCCAACTCAAACTGTGTTCTGCAGGTTTACAGCAGACAGCTTCACATTTGTTGGTATAAGTGTAGAGCTTAATCAGGCTGGGCATGAGAACAAAACATAGCCTGGAGGTTTGGAGAAGCAAGTTTCAGAAGATAATAGAATTATCAATGTTTGAATGTCATGGTTCTGGCATATTATTCATATATCAGCATATATCTGTACTTACAGTTACATAAATAATATGATTAGATGTATATTTGCACAGTAATATATCTTTTAAACTGGAAAAAGTTGTCTCGTTTTGAAGAATACAGTTTTCCTAGAAACACCCATCCCTTAACTGGTGATAGTAAATCTGCTTTTTTCAGCTTATGTGCAAAAGAAGTTGCAAACTGTATTTAAAAAAAAACAACACCAGAGAAAAATTAATACAGGAAATCCTTGGCAGTATGTTTAGTTCTTGTCCAAGCATGTCTTATTTTCTCAGGTAAGCACTGAATTGAGTTGGAAATCTTAAAGTTTTGTTACAACAGGTTGCTTTTGTTAATGCTAGACTAAAATGAAATAATTGGGTTCCATGAGAGACATGAACACTTTGTCAAATATACTTTTTTTTCCTCTTTTTTTTCCAGGTATAGTCTCTCATATATTCCTTTTGCAAGGTGAGTCTGCATAATTATTTCCATCATAACAAAAGTCAGCTAGCTATCTTTATGCTAGGGAGGTGGAAAAAGTCCTTAAATTGAGTATGTGAAAAAACATAACCTCCTCCCTTTCCTTCTAATTTTTAGAAAATTACATAGCTGTACTCAAAGTAGTGTTTAATATAAGCTTTAAATACAAATAAAGTGCATAGTAATTATATTTGTTAAATTTCAGTCTAGTTTTCATCACTGAAAATAAATTGAGTTTTTGTTTAAATTTTCCAGTAATTTAAAAATGCATTGATGCAATAGTAATTTTTCCAGTACTTATGCTAAAGATATCTTATGGATCCGAGCTCTTAGTAAAAAGCAAACAAGCAAGCGTAGTTTCAACTGTTAAGTCTACTTCTGAATTCCTCCATCGTTTTTAGGAGAGGCAGAGGCAGTGCTTCTTGTTAATTTTCATTTTGGCAAGCTTCTCTTTTACTCTGTGTACAAAAAGGGAAGGAAAGCTAGTCAAACACATAGTGAAACCACATACAAGTAAACAAACTGAAGAATATGTTTTTTTCTAAAGTGTTTCATGTCAAATGTAGTTTGGTCTTTGAGCAGTGTGTTTTTTACTAAAATAAAGTGCTTCCATATCTGTATATTACTTAATGATGTTTTCTGCAGTGAGAGTGGAGAATAAAAGAATACAAAGTATTATCTGTCCCTTTCATCTGGTATCTTCCTGTAGTGTTTCTGTAAGAAAACTCTGCACTATGGTTTGGGTTTGTTGGGGTTTTTTTGGTAAAGTTTCAGATGTGATCTAGGGAGGATTAAGCCACATATATGGGGTTTTTTTAAGATGGTAGTTGATAATTACAATTGATTAAATACTTTAACTGAACTCAGGCTTCAAATTGTCATCTTACTGTTTCTGACATCTCAGACTAACCCAGTCAAAAGTAGTATTTTGTATTCTTATTGTTCCTGTAGCCATGTGACACTCTCAGTAGGGTCATTCCTTCTTTTTTCAGATGTACTGCTGTGCACAGAAAACAAATTCAGCTACTAGTTACAGGTCTTATCTTCCCTATCAACAGTACTTTAAGTTCTGGTCAGAAGAACAATAGGTTATATGCATCACGTAATTTATTTGGGTTTATTTCTCTTTGGTTTTATTGATTTTTATGAGCCAAAGAAATGAATTTTACGCAGGCAGCTTTTAGTAGTATGGTGATTTCTTTAGGGATTAATGAGTTACTTGCTTATGTGGAATGCTATCATAAATTTTTTGTGTAGGCTGCCTTTTTTACAGAAATCGTGATCTAAACGATGTTCAGTGCCAGAGAACAGTATTATGTAATTTGTTTAAAGTATGCTTTTATCTTGATTTCCACAAAATTATCATTACTTGATTTAAGTCAATTAACAATTTACTCTTAACAACAATGTACTTTGTGGTTTTGGGGTTTGGGTTGCTTGGGTTTTTTTGTGGGTTTTTTGTTGTTTTTTTTTTAATTAATGGTGGCTCTCCTGCTGTTGTGCAGAAAAAAACAAACAAACAAAAACAACAAAAACAAACCACACCTAAAAAACCCACACCAAAACAACAAAAAAAACCCCATACATAGATTTTAAGGAATCACGATAGTATTTTTATTCATTTTTCAAATTGACTAATAACAGAATGCATTCCTTAATAAGTTGTTACATTTTTGAGAAAATTAAAAATAAAGTGAGTGATCTAAGTAGGATAGTCAGAAAACAGTTTATTGTTGGCTAAAGACATAGACACCTTTAAATCTTTCAAACCTTAAGGTTGAGCCAGCTCTCCATCCTGTACTGTTAGTATGTGCACTTTTGACCCTTCAGCCTTGGCTTTTGTTTTCCCTGCAACATGACTGGACTGAAAGCACCTGTGCTTTGCTGATTGTCTGGCTTTGGCATGCTCCTCAGCCCGACCCTTGCTGTCCAGTCTCTGAGAAATAAGGCTTTGACCTTCGCTAAGTCACCAAGTGTGCTGCAGAACAGTTTTAACACTGTGTCTGCATTTTAGCTTGTGTTTGAGTGTAAACAGTGTGGAAGACTTAGACAATACGGGCAGCTTTGGAGTGGGCTTGAGCCTTTGCTTTATCTGGTGCTGTAGGTATACTCAACATAAGGATGACTGTTAAGATCCTGCATTTGATAAGCTATTGATATCTTTAGTTTATGTAATATTTTAAATTCTAAATATGTAATGGTTGATACGTATGTAAATAAAATAACAAGTATCTTAAATGACTTTTTTTTTTCTTTTTAAAGGGATGCTGTGATTAAATGCTTCTCATCCTGTCTAGGGTAAATTAAAACCAGGAACCACTGTACGCTTTAAAAGCCAACTTCTATTCCTCTGTGAATTTTGCTCAGAAAAGTATACTTTTCCACTCATGAAATACCCAGTAACAATTTTGTATTTTCCTTGCCTTTTCTATTTGGGAGATAAATAATTTTTACTAGAAACAGTTTTAAAAATAAATTGGGTGAACTGTGTGTATTTACCCTGGAACTTTTAGGCTTTTTTTAACAAAAAAGTACATTTAGTTACTTTGTGCAGAGTAGTCTTAAAACTACCTTGCATCCAGTAACAGTTTATTCCCCAATGGAGGCAAGCCACTAAGATCTGGGTAGTATGCATAAAGATTTCATTTACAGTTCTGTCTAAAATTTGCAATGTGCCATTTATGTTTGTGTATTACTCATTGTATGCTTTTCCAAAGACAGAGTTTTATAAATGTTGTAAAGATTTGCTAAGTTATAATTAACTGCTCTTTGAAATGTCTATACATGTGCCTTGTGGAAAAAAGCTTAATGAGAATATGTGAAAGGTCTGTTTAAAGCTTGTTGGATTTTATTAAAAAGCTATATTTTAAACGATTTTTTTTACTTTCATACTTAAATACTTTTTACTAAAAGAGCTTATGGCTAATGTATAAATGAAATTTGTGAAATAAATTAGTTTTAAAGGTGCCTAAACTATTTTTAAATTAGGAATTGGCTATAGAGGGCTGAAAACTTCAGCATTACACTTGAATAAATATGAAAATACAAAAAGCGGGATCTGTATATGACTGTGTCCAAATTTGGTTACTGGATTTGCAGAAGTGACTTTAAAGCTTCTATGTACAATTTAGACAAACTGTACATTCTGACTTAAACTGGTAACAAATTGAAGTGTAATACTCTTAATACTTTGCCTAGCTTCAATAAGATGTTTTCATTTCCAGTTTTTTGCAACTAAGAGCTATTCAGTTATTCAGGAGCAGTTAAATCCTTAATGTTTGGCTGGTATCATATGACAGGAGGTTCTTGCCACAGGATGGGTGTACTTGATTACCTGCGTTCTAAACACCAGTTGTTTGAATTTTTTTTTTTTTTTTTCTGCTAATCCACAAATACAAGAATGTGAGCTGCAGTGTCAGGAAGGGGGAAAACCCCTGTCATTTACTATTCAGGACTCAGGCTAAAGAGATGAATTGCAGTATGTTCCTGTTAAATTTCAGTGTACGTTGCACAAAACAGCATCTTTTGGGGGAGGTGTATGAAGGATGATTGCATGATTTTTGCAGCTAACTTGCCAAGCCAAGCCTCACCTTTTCACTGATTAGTAACAATAAATTGCCAGTGAGGTATCCTTCTTTCAGGATGATAGGGGACCAGGTGATCCCAACCATGCAGCAGGCTCTTGGGCTTGTTCTTTCTCCATGGTTGTAGTGACAGCCTCTCTAGCCAGCTCTGCCTGTCACAGCCCCGGGGTGCTAGTGGACCCATGAGTGAATTCTTAGTTACTTTGAGTTTCCAGTTTGCACTGAAGGTGACTGAATATGTGCATAGGTAGTGCAGGCTGTCAGCCTGGAAATAACCGTTGCTGCCCTTTCCCCAGATGCTGCTTCTGACCCTAACTGGCACAGGGGAGATCCTGTTCTGCTACTCGGAGCTTCAGAACCAAGCAGTTGCTTGCTCCAGAGTTGGTTTTGCCCGTTGACTACCAGTTCTGGTACACAATCACCTTCACTGTAAATAATTCACTGTAATTAGAATGGTATTAGCTATTCAGATTTTTTTTTTATTATGTGCTGTGGTAAATAACAAAGTTAACACTCATCTGTTAACACTGTTAGATCACCATGGCTTCAAGAACTGAGGTCCAGAAGTTCTGTGTACCAATATGGTTTTATGTGTGCACTTAGGTCTGTTACATCATGTGGTTCCTATTTGTTTTTCTCTCCTGAGTATTTAAGGGTTCTCTTTCTTCATCTGCATACAGAACACACATGCTGTGTTCTTTCATTGGTATCTTTTGCTCCTTCACATCCTATTGTTGTTTACTGTGTATGAATATTCCAAAAGTTCACAGTTGATGCATCCTCATTGTATGATAATCTTTTATGACAGTGTGAAACCACAGATGTGGAGATCTCTATCCCTGTGGATTGCATACACCCTACCCATCTTTTGATAAAATTCTAATACCCTAATTAAAATAGTACTTTCAAGTAAAATCTGTAGAAATCATATGTGATGACTGTTTAGACTAAATTTTGGGGTGGTAATAATTTTGGGCTTATATTTCCTATAGATTTACTTATTCCAACCACAGGAAACCTCTGTGTTACTATTCAGAGTACTTCTAAAGAGTAGGAAATTACTGTTTTCCTCCAACTTAAAAAAAACCCAAACAAACACCCAACCAAACAACAGAAGCGTAGAGCTTCACAATCACAGAAGGACTGGAGCCTAGGAAGAAGGATCTCTGGACCGAGCCTTTGTTACCAAGCGAGGCTCCTCTTGCCCTCAGAGGGGTTTGTGCGCTTTGGAATTTCACGTAGGTGCAAGTCCGCTCTCGGTCCCGGTGTGGCTGACCGCCCTCTTGTCCCGCCTGCCGGCCCAGGGTCACGGCCGTGCAGGTAGTCCCGGAGCTCAAAAAGCCTTTAATCTTTTGAAGATGGGGCGAGGGTGCTAGTTTAACGTGACAGTAAATGCCTCTGCCCTTCCACGCTTGGACGCTTGAGGACTGTGGGAGGCCGTGAGAGCCCGCCCTGCCGTCCCTCGGGCTCTGCCGGGGCCGGCCGGGCCAGGCGCGGGGGAGGGCCCCG